TTCTCATTGCCGAAAAATTATTTACGCAAAGTACGAAAATTATCTGCTAATATTTCCTCGACGTTGTACTTTTCTCCTTTATCGCCACAGCGCAAAATAATTTTGTCATAAATGTTAAAGGTAAATTCGTAATATTCTATGTTTAAAAGGTGGCATTATAAATTATATCATTCAGATGTGATTTTCTTTTGAAATGAATACAATATTGAACGATAGATTGAAAAACATTCCTCTTGAAATACTTTTCGCGATTGAGAAGGGGCGTTCGGAATTTTTATAAAGATTACAGATATCGCGTCACTTGTGTAGCCGGCACCGTCGCGTATATCGCGTAATTGGGTAGTTGCGTAACAAGTTCGCCGAAATTACACGTCTGGTTCTATCGACAGTTTTTGCTTATCCTGGCCAGGACATTCGGCCGCGTGAGCGACAGGATTCGTTCGTTCGTGACATATACGCAGTCACGGGTGCACGCCGCCTCGGCGCAGAACGTATCTTCCAGTACTTGTCAATTTCGACACGGCGACGTGTATGACGAGGCACGTTTCCATATATCCTGCGTGCAACGCATATTTATATTCACGGTAACTCGTATCTACTGACGTTGTGCGTTACCGTATCCCGCGTGCGTTTGCTTTCGCAGTTAAACAGCTGTAGCACACTGTGACAGTATCTGTTGCGAATAACACATTACACCGGGATCATGCAATCAATATGAACAATTCTTCAACCACGCACACATATACGCACACACAGGTTATCTCGTATACAATGTTTTATCTATAAAAAAACAAGTTCGATAAATTAAATTCTTATAACAAACGTATTATTGTATGACTGGAGGCAAAAGCTCGTGTTCGCGGAAAATTTAAAAAAAAAAGGAATACAGAGAAAATATCTGTATGACGTATTTTATATAGGATTATGATCCTTTTGTTCATTTATTCGAAACGAGTTCTATTTAGCATGGAAAGTTTTGTTACCTTTGTTTTTTAAGTAAGTCTTCTGGAAAGTAAGTTTAATAAAAGAGCTGCGGAACCGGCTGCATTGATTAGAAACTTGGTCGTATTTGGCTTGAATGTCGCGCATAAATCTATGCACGGCGATGCACAGCATACTACGGCCTATGCAGTTCCTTTGCGTCAGGATGCACCGCGGCGAAACCGCGAACAACAATTTGTCAGCACGCGTGACAGCTTCGTTTAAACTGGAGTAACTTTCCATTGTTCCAGGGAACAATCGCGCGGATCGCGGAAAGTCAATGCGTCCGTGCTTCGCATGATTTTCTTCGCCGCGCGCGTCACGTATTTATCAAATTTTTTTTTCTTTACTCGCGTGAAAAATAACGCGAAGACACGCTTTTGCGCGTTGTATTAAAAGTCAACCGCGGGCCTCGCATTTATACACCCTATTAAATAAATATAACATAATTCGTCGTGGCCTTCATTACTTTTCAGTGTGCACAGAAACAAACTCTGTATCAAAGTCATATCTGGCTTTCGATATCAAAACTATGATTAATTTGTACACTGTATGATCAAATCGGGATTTTTAAGGATCAATTCATCTGTCACGGGATTTTTAATATCCGCATGCAAATTAACTTCGAAAAGTCTAGAAAAACCTGCAACACGTTAAAAGTTGGTGCACGGAGAGAATTTTCTCTTAAAATTTACCCTGAAAATTTTGTAATGTGGGACAATACGGTATTATTTCGAACAATTTTATGAGAGTTGACCAATTCAAAATAGAGAAATTTCTTGCGAAAAGTATTACCGCCCGCCTAGAGTGTAGGCAGGTCCGGTTTCATACTCTGGCTGATGTGGTATTTTTTGCAATAAATTTCTCCAATTTGAATTGGCCAGTTGTGTCGTTTATTAATTTTCCCACATTGGTTAATTATTATATTTACTGGTGGCAATAAGTCTTTATTCTCTTTGCGAGAGCTTTCTAAATTTTACCATACATTTTACTAGTAAAACACTCATTCACTCATAAAATTCTTCGAAACGCCGTGTTGTCCCACGATTACACGATTTTCAGGATAAATTTTAAGAGAAAATTTTCTCCGTGTGGTGCCAATTTATGTGATTGAGATGTTCCGAAGGGCAGAAGCGGGAAAAATCCAAAGCTTGTACTTTATGGGATAACGGATGAAGGTCTATCGATGCATTGTGCGTAATATACGTGGCAATACTCGTGCTTCTCGTTAATGAGCGGCACGTAGATTACGCGAAAGGCGAGCGAGCAAGTTGGTTGGATTAAGCGTATCGTTATAATGGCTTATTACGTTGTCGGTGCGATCGATTGGTGGTGCGCGAGATTAATTTCTCCCTAGTGTGATATATTCGCGATAACCCGCTTTCTGCCTTACACCGTTGCAACGTCGAATACGAGCGTGCACTAATCATGAAGAAAGGTGGCTGTCGATAAACGCATCGCCTTTACTATTATATCGCCCAGCGCTCGTCACGCGTGTTTTTACGGGATTTCGCGGCGAAATCATATTTTACGAGGGCTGTGAAAGGATTGCGCAGATCCGACTCGCACATACGTGCAGTGTCTCTGATCTGAATTTATTAGACTGTTTAATTAATTTAAATTCAATTCGGCTAAACGCAACCATTGTGCAATCCATATTTATGACATTTTCATGTGGAATATATTATATTTAATGCTAAAGGTAATTTGATATTTGATTTAATCTATTGTAATATAATATAATACTCAATGCTAGAAATACAAGAGAATTACATTGCTCATGTAAGTAACATCGCTGTGTAAATATAGATTTACATTAATGGATTGTATATCTAAAGTTAAGAGAACCGCCGGGTATATAAACTGAAAACTAGGTGAAGAAATGTAAGAGAAATAGAAGAATTTACCGAGATTTAGAAATGCATTATCTACTATTCCACTTATACAGGGTGTCGGATTCGATTTGGACCACTCCAAAGATTATAGTAGATTGGGTCAAACTGAGAAGAAAAGTTATATACCATTTTACAAAATCCGTAATTATTATCGCGTAATTAAGAAAAACGTCTGAGCCAATAAGTGCACGGAGGAGCGGAAGGCCGGACTCGGCAGACATGCAAAATGGTGTATTTGTTGACATCTCTCAAGATCCGATAGCGAGAGGTGGAGTCACGCATCGATCGATGATAGACGGAGGCGAGCGGGGAGCGGTGAGCGGGCGAACGGCGCGCAA